GAGGAAAAAAGCATGCTGGAAGGGGCTGGAAGGAAAACAGGGGGCGCGTCCATGGTGCGCTGGTGTCCGGGGGAGGTGTGGCCGAGGCAAACAGTCCGAGGGATTCCGAGGCAAATCCATGAGTGTAGCAAAAGTCCAAGACCAAGTAATCCATCCTGACAGACAAACTGAGTTAAAAGCCGGAGAGGGATCCGGCGGAGGGACAGGGGAATAAAAGGGGGGTCACGGGACCGGACGCTCCCTAATCCAGGAATCAGAAGGTCAGGATGCCGAGATGAAGCCTGTGCCGTCGAATCACTCCCGGACACGCGGGTAGGAGGGCTTCCAGGCATCCATCTTCCAAAGCTGAGCCTAGATTGGCAGGAACATCTGGCTTTTATAGCACGGGGGGCTGGAACTGGAGGCATGTGCGGGAGATGAGTATAAGACAAGGAAGGGCTTAACGGCATCAATTTTCTAACAACTTCCAATACAGGGTCTCAGGGCAATGGACACAGCACATCTTCGGTTAAAACACAAGAGTTTGTTTAAGGCAAAAACCACAGACCTTGGTGTATCATCAGGCTTGAAAAATCGATTTTTATATTTCAGAAAAAAGACCAATATAAATCTCTCTTTTTGAGCAGGATTATAGAAAGTCATCTCTGACAGCAGTTTCCATCTAGGCTGGGATTTAGAATATCTTGTGGCAACAGCAGTTAGAGTCAAGTGACTCCTGGCGTTTGCTCAAATAGACAGGGAAACATTTGCCTAGACAGATTTTAATACAAGTCGCCAAGAGTGCACACCTGTGCACAAGAGATATTGTCTTGGTTTGAACTGGACCATATATCTGAACTATAATAGAACAATTGGAATCAAATAACCTCCTCAGATGGTTCGGAGACTTGCTTTAATTGCATTTTATCACAAAGCTGTCATTACAAAGTGCCACATTACCAGCGTGTTGTGGTAATATATTTATCTTATTAGAGGTATAATACATTTGTATCAGCCTCTGGGATATGTACAGTTCTCCCTTTTTCCTCAGGATTGGACAGGTGTTACCATAGTGAGTGTAATGAATAGAATATTAATTTTTGGAATTGTCCAGTGATACCTTGTCTACAGCTGTCCTTATCCTCAGACCAGTGGGATAGATCCTTTCAAAAATCGGCAGGATGGAAGAAACATAGCAGGATACAAATGCTTTTTGTGGTTGCAGGGAATAAAAAATGAAAAATCATATCAGGCAGTTTCTTTAAGGGATCACAGAACCATTTTCAACACAGGGGTAAGATACTGTACATAAAGACTGGTTTCCTGGTTTCTCTCTGTCCACCT